CCGGCATGCCTCCAGCTATCGTCGTCAGGTGACCGGTCACGCCCTCGGTTACGCGCGCACATGCATGCGTCTTTTCGTGGCCCTTGTTACGCGTGACCTCAGAACCTGGTCAGCGGCTGTCTCGCGTGTTCTCTCTTTCCTATCCTGCCTCGAGAACGGCGCGAGTGTTGGGTCCTCCTAGCACCTATCGGATGATTTCCAGGGAGTTCATGGTTAACGTTAAGTTGAGAGTTAGGAATAAATTTATTGTGCAGGCCTAGGTTTGGGTTTGTGCTTAGGTTATGACTCGACCATATTTACCCTTCCTGGCATTTTTCGCAAGGTCACTTGCATTAGGGGGGGAGGCATTCCTGTTTCCGAGTCTCGCATTTATATACTGCGATAATAAGATAAAAGTAAAACGTTTACTTTGTTTTAAAGTTGAAAATATTCCTATCAGAGGATTTAGAAGAGTATTTGGCGGGTGTACGTATACTTTCGGTAAATTTTCCTCAGGCCAATACATTTATATGGACAGGGGTATAAGCTCTAACAAAATAGTGGCCCAGAGAAAGTCGCAAATATCTAAATAATCCACTGTTAAAGAGTACTGCACCTCCCACTGCCCTAGGCCCTCGCTACCCAAACGCTGGTCCGGTTCAACCGGTTTGAATGGTTATTTTTTATTCAGTAGTTGTGCTTCTTCCGTGTTTCTGTTCAGGCTGTCCTATCCGCATGAAAGGCGCCCAAAAATAAGAAAGTTAGAAATTAGGAAGTGAAGTTTGCGAAACCTTCGGCATTTAGGGTTAAGCATGCTGTTCCACTCACCCATCACTCTATCCTCTTCGGTCTGTCAGGACATGGCATGTCTTCAGTGATCGGAAGTTTTTGTTGATAGCTCGTATTTAGGGAGTCAACTAGGTGTTGTTGGAAAGCCCTCGCATCAATAGTATCTCTGTCTGTTTACGGTAATAACAAAACTGCGTTGACCAGGTCAATCACCTATTATTTTGAGATTGGTTGCACCGAAGATGCTTCATTTTCCCACAAGCCCAAAAAGAATCTTTCCTATCTAAGCAAAAGCGTGAAACCGGAATGCGAGCGAATGGTGAACACAGTGAACCTCCACATACACTACAGTCACGCTTAATATCGTTTAATACCAGCAAAATTTCTTATACCTACGTATCGCGGCAACGCGATATATGCGAAAGTGGGCAGGGTGCTCGATGCAGTCCATTCTGCGAGAGCTCATCTCAGAAACGAATCCCCAGTCGTATGCCAATCCTGGCGCTGGCCGAGTTCAAACACGTTTGCTTAACTTCCAAGAGTTCTTAGCTGCGGTGTCTCAACTGAAATCTCACGTATAACAAACACAACAGCACCGTTAGCATATTGTCTATCGTAGACTTTTGCCTCTTCATTTGTAGGTCTTCACTTCTATCTTTG